AACAAATAAATTCTCATAATATTGCCCACACTGCAGCGCAGCCCAAGCGCAGTCGCTGCTTACTGCGCAGTTAGCAGAGCGCAGGCTTATGCGTGCGTGTGGATGCATGTGTATGTATGTGTGCATAAAAGAAGTGCAGAATGAATAGAATATCAGCTTGGAGGGTTCAGGGTATCTCCTAGTCGAGCAGTCTCGACTGGAGCTTTCTTACTTGTTCAATTATGAAAGTTGCAATAAACAACAATTACCATAATTAAGTGCCGTTCGTGTTGGGCTTAGAGATGGCAGCAATGCGAATTCGTCCAATGGAACAGGAGGAAGCACAAACTGAAATTATGCAGATTTTTTATGCAAATTAAATTAATTTATTGTGGTAAGACGCAGTTAAATAAATTAAATCAAAGGCTTTAAAGTTGTATCTTCAATTTCTTTGTTAAATATCAAAGAAATTAAGGCTAGATCAAATCGGATCCGAGTTGGTTAGGTTGGGTTGATCTTCTCGGTCTCAGCAGATGACGATTGAAGACTGAAGACTCCACCCACTAAGTGCTCCTGTGGATTTTCACTTTATTTTTTTTTCTAACGCCACGAATATTATTCTTGTCTTCAAATTTAATGTTTTAATTGTCCATTTGGACCGATTAAAAAAAAAATAAATAAATAAATAAATAAAAGAAATTCAATAAATAAAAACGAATAATAACAAGTAAGAAGGCTCCAGTCGAGACTGCTCGAAAACTGGTTTGGGTTACTAATAATAATTTATTTTATATTTTGTCAAAAAGCTATTTAAATGGTTTCATGCTTGTGGCCTAGGAGGTTAAATGGTTTATTTGATTACTACATAACCGTTTGTTGTGAAACTGAGAATTAAGCCGCAAGCAGTTGAGGCATAAATAAAACTTTGACAAATTGATACGAATAAATTTCCAATAAATATTTTATAATGTAATGGTGATTTATTAAGGGCACTATGTGTGCAACAGGAGCGTATAATATGTGTATATATAAATATTTCATATTTCGTGACATCAGCTATTAACTGCTCGTGCTTTCTCGTGGCACGAGCCCAGCTCAAGTTGTGGTCCTTTGTATTTGAATGCGGCAGAGATGTAGGATACACAAATTGAATGCCACTCAAGAGCAGACAATAACGAAGCGCTTCCGTTTCCATAGTGCAGAACTTTTCCCAATGACAGCTAAACTAGTTAGGGTTTAAGCTTTGGACTGGGCTCGGCTCAGATTAAAATATTGGCTGCTGCTCCAGTGTTGGCAAATGCCGCACAATGCAATTATGCAAATGGAAAGCAGATATATCCAATGTACGATTCGCTCTCATATTCGCCATGCGCACAATTTCATGTCCTCTGCCAATGGCATATGAATCAAAACGGTATTTTAATTTCGCTCTCTGACAAACTGACTGCGCCCGCAACTGATTGAAACGAATGCCACAGTTCATTTTGAGTGTGCTCATCATGTTATTTCAGCATTGGCTCAATTAGCCAATTTTTTGCAATTTGCTCTGCTCTCGAGCTGCTCAACAGTCAATATGGAACATCAATGGAACCTCCTGACATATGCTCGACTGCAGAATACTCGCCTTGATCTATTAAATAGACCAACTCTGCATATTCGCTAACAATTAGGCAATTTGGTTTCTTTTCTTTTGTCATTACCGACATTAGTTTGCATTTTCAGCTTATACTATGGCTTTTCCTTCCGATTTCCGATGTTCACAAATAGGCATATTCAATATCCCCTGAAAACGACTCTGGGCAGACGCTGCACAACATCATTGCTGGCTATTTACTTCGCCAATGAGCAGAAGAAGCAAACACAATCACGCTGAAAGTGGCACTAAATATAATATTTATCCTAGTTATTCTATCCTTGCTCAAGTCGTAGAGCTTCCTTCGAGCTTACGCTGATTGCCTGGCATTGTTGACAGCGAGTCGAACGAAGACTTGCCCAGAGACGTCCTTTACGGTAATCAAATCGATATTTGGTTCGTCCTGGCTAATTGAGTTAATTATGAGCATGTGCGCTTTGGTTAGCATATAATTATTTACTAAATTTATATGTAATCTAAGTGAAAATGAATTAGATAAACTAAGTTTCATTTAGTTTCTCGAAGTAAATACGTGACTATTTCTGTAGGTCTGTAAGTCGAGTACATAAAATTTAAAGTAACTGAATTGAGATAATTCACATTTATTTAAGCTGTCATATAACAATGGCATTAAACTAAAGTTTAAATTATCGTATCGTATTTAGTGATTAGCATAATACTTAATGTTCATGCAAACTGAATAAATCCGAGCTCTGCTCATTTGCAAGTAAATCAGAAATTATATTTATTTCGGTGACTAAATAAGCTCTGATTTAATCCACTAAACCCATTTAGTGAATGGATTTTAATCAATTTTGAAGTATTTAGACATAACAAATTCCCGAAAGTGAAAATAGAAAATGAAATGATTTTCCGTAATTATCGAGTGCAGCTGAAAATAGAAATCGAAAAATAGATTAACTGCGTGTATGTGTATAAGTGTGTATTCGTTTGAAAATGTATATAGGCAAGTATTTCTATTATAGGAATTTTAACAAAATGCATTCTTTTATTAATTATATAGCCTTATACATATATTCATATTTATGTATGTAGTTGGCATATATATCAAAAAATAATAAAACCGAATTTTTGCCAATGAAGTTAAAGCAAAATTTTTATGCTGGAAAGGAATGTAAAATGCTTAGAAGAAATAATAAATTTAATTTTAGTTTATTTATAAACATCCAGTTACTTATATAGCCATATTTTAATTTGCTTCTAAATTAGCTTGGCTTTGCGAAACGAGTTTAATTAATTATCATTTCATTACGCAGCATTAGCCAAATCAGTCCCCAAGGCATCATAGAGTATTCAGTGTAAAATCAGTCCATCTCGTAGAGATCAAGCGATTAAATTATCTGCTTCATACAATACAGCTCATTGAAGCGCCTGTCCTTGGCCTCTGTAGTCTGCAATATAGTGTTTGGCTAATTAATGGGCCTTGCTCTAGTACATTTGCCACTAATCAGGCTGCCTGGCTGATGGCAGAGCACATAGCTATTAGTGAAAATTAAATGCTACCTCAGTCTATCACTTAGCTGCTTACCTGCTAAATTCACTGGTTGCTAAGTGGCTTATCTAGGATTGTTGCTCCTGTTGAACAAATGCAGGTCAAACGAAATCACTTAAAACTAGAGATTCAATTTGCAGCGTTATTGCGTTACTTTCGCATCATCAGAAGTTTCCTTTATCCAATTTGAGCTCAAATTTGAGCTCCATTGAGTTTTCATTGTTGTTTTAGAGCTGCCTTAGACAGACTGCGACAGGTGAAAAAATCTGACAGACAATCAAAGTTTATCTTGTGCGCACAGAAAGAAATTCAATTTATCCTGGTAGTTGACAGGTATTTTGTATATTTATAAATAAATATTTTTAAAGATGTTCAAACTTTTATAAACAACTTTGTAGACAATATTGAATAACGGATGAAGTATGCTGTATTATGAAAAATATTCTTAATTGTTACATTGACATATGATTATATGACTGACTTATGCAAGCTATAATATATAGTTTATTGTGTCACGCAAAGGACAATGGCTTAGGTAATGCGGAATCCTTTAGACACGTGCACAAACATGTGCTGTTTGTTTGCCTTGCAGGTTTATTGAACCCACTGTGGCGTAAAATGATTTGTATTTTGATGAACACACTAACACACTCACGCGAGCACACATATACATGGCACACTCATGTGTGCAAGCGTGTTCAAAGGATTTGTGCAAGCTCCTATTTGCAATTGTTGTGTCCGTTGAGCAATAGTTTTTCATTTGTTTTCCTTCATTTTGATATGTGGAAAAGCATGTATGTGTATTTAACTTTTTGCCATCTCTCTCTATATATACATATCTCTCTCTTTCCATCGTTGTGCAGGGACTTTCTCACTGAATGTCTATTTCCATCGCCCACGCGCCCATATGAGCTGCCGTGGGAGCAGAAAACCATTTGGGCCATCGTATTTGGCCTGATGATGTTCGTGGCCATTGCGGGCAATGGCATAGTGCTGTGGATTGTTACAGGTAAGCTCTTGACGTGTTTGCAATTGTTTCAAATGCTCAACTCTGAGCGGCGCTTTAAGGCACATCCCGCTGGATGGACTTAACTCGCGTATCAGAGTCACAGTTAGTTCTCATTGCCTTTGAGGAACGAGGCAGGCAATATCCGGTGGATTTGTCTTTTCTTCCACGTCTCGGTGTTTGTGGTGTTTTCTTATTTCTGTCTCTGTCCGCAGGACATCGCAGCATGCGCACGGTCACAAATTATTTCCTGCTGAACCTGAGCATCGCTGACCTGCTAATGTCCTCATTGAACTGTGTCTTCAACTTTATATTCATGGTGAACTCGGATTGGCCATTTGGCTCGATTTATTGCACCATCAACAATTTTGTGGCCAACGTAACGGTTTCAACATCGGTCTTCACCCTGGTCGCCATCTCCTTCGACAGGTGAGTGCTAAGTGTTTGCCATAATCTTCATTGCACCAATACCCGCATCCGCATCCGCATCCGCATTGGCATCCGTTTTTGCATCCGATTTGTATATTTGCAGATACATTGCCATAGTCCACCCCCTGAAACGGCGCACGTCGCGTCGCAAAGTGCGTTTTATTCTCGTCCTGATCTGGGCACTGAGTTGTGTGCTCTCCGCCCCCTGCCTGCTCTACTCCAGCATCATGACAAAGCAGTAAGTGAAGTGCCTCCACGATTTACATACATACATACATACATACATACGTATATATATGACCTTGCCTTGGCTTTACAAAGTCAGCGCAGGGCCGGCAGTCTCAGCTGAATATTTTGTTTACTCTCCGGCAGTAATAAACATAAAGAACTTTGAAAGACGAAAGTTCAAGATACTTTTCACGTAGATGCTTCCACACACAAAACACCACCCGCAGCGCAATCGCCCGCTGTGGACTCTGAGCATATTTCCATCGATTCGCTGATACTCCAGGATGTTAGACTAGGTCTCTGCCACTCCCATTGGCATTGCCATCGCCATTGCTCAGATATATTGCATGAGCTAACGTTATGAGCACCTGAAGCTCAACTAGGCTCCTCCTGACTCCACTTTCATTTGAATTTTACGCAAATTCGCACACTTCAATGAAGCAAATGGCACGTTCACTTAATAGAATTGAAGCTTTTAGTCTTTTATGACTAACTGATTGACGGTCTGATGGACTGACGGACTGACGCGTGGATTGATTGAATGAGTGCCACTGGCATACATTCTCGAGATAAAACGTTGCCTAGGGTAATAAACAAGCTAGCTTGTAGAAGAATTTATAACATGTTAAGTTATGAGTCTGCATAAGTATAAGTGGAATAAAAGGGATAATAAACTGACGAGAAATTTCGTTCATAAGGACAAAATATTATTGGCTCTGGCAATTTTACTCAAAAATTTAACGATATATTGTGGATATATATATGTAAAGTTAAGCAATTGAAATGCGAAAAGAAAATTTATGCCTTGACAGCTCATGTAATTCCACTAACCCTGCTTCTAGAAAGGAAATATCAATACAAAATATTAAAATATAGAAAATACACATTCTTAAATAATAACTTTGTTGTATTTTGAGAAGAATATAAAAAAAGTAGAGAAGAATTGGAAGACCTTAAGTATATATATTTAAGTATAGCTCACGCGCACACTATCGGTAGATTTATAGAAAAAGCAAAGCTGCAACAAAGATAACCTAGAACAATTCAGCTACACTTTGAGTTATCGGTTGAAATAGCAAAAAATAAATATAATCAATCCATACCAAACGAATTGAAATGCATTCTTGTAAAGGCTCAGTCAATAGGAATTTACACCGAATAGAGTTTTACTCCAATTTACACAGTTGCTAAATTGAAATCAATAAGAAGAAATCAATAACCCATCAAATTAATTTACTATTAACAATTTATTTAAACAAGAGTGTATATAAGAGCTATGGAGATCCAATTAAATTCGTTAAATTATTCAAATTTGAGCATAATTTTTAACTAATTTATTGTAATGTAATGCGCAATGAGGTCAATTAGTTCAAAATGCACAAATACAATCATAATCTATTGAATGGTCGAGCTGGCCGAAAATTTGCTCAGTTAATCACCTGGCTGGCAGATGCGTGCCTAACGAGCTCCTCGGACTGGGTGGATTGTTGGCAAATCTTCAATTTGCCAAATTAGTTTTTTATGGAAAGGCAGCTTCGATGCGAAAGGCGACTTTAAGGTGTCGCCTTCCGTCTGGGCGGAAGGACCCTTCGCGCCTAACTTTTGGGCCGTGATAATTTCTCAGGGCTCTTCGGCCCGGGTTCGCTTTCACAGTAATTAAATTATGTTGCAAAGTGTCTGGCGCCGCAGCAGCCCAAGATACCTTTATGCACAATGTAAATTCCATTAGGGCGCGCAGGGCGAAAGTTTCGTGTTAACCTTACCATTTAGAGCAATTAACATTAGCCGAGACAATGAACGGGTGATGATTCATAAAATTACTTGGCAGCTATTATAACGGAAAATCGCGTACAGTCTGCTTTATGATGTGGCCCGACGGACGCTACCCGACGTCGATGACCGACTACGTGTAAGTGTATTCAAGCCCCTTTCAGCCCTACTACAGCTAATTGTGAACACTCGTCAATCGGCAGCTATAACTTGACTCTGTTGGTGCTGACCTACGGCATACCGATGATCGTAATGCTCGTTTGCTACTCGCTCATGGGTCGAGTGCTGTGGGGCAGTCGCTCGATAGGCGAGAACACGGAGCGCCAGATCGAGTCGATGAAGTCGAAGCGAAAGGTCGTTCGCATGTTCATTGCCATCGTCTCCATCTTCGCCATTTGCTGGCTGCCCTACCACATGTTCTTCATCTATGCCTACCACAACAACCAGGTGGCATCCACGAAGTACGTGCAGCACATGTATCTCGGCTTTTACTGGCTGGCCATGTCCAATGCCATGGTGAATCCGATCATCTACTACTGGATGAACAAGAGGTGAGCAATTACCTTGACAGAGATAAAAGACAATTTTCATTTTGCACTTAATATATTTCGCTTTACAGATTCCGCATGTACTTCCAACGGATAATTTTCTGCTGCTGCATGGGCCTGACACGCTACAAGTTCGACTCGCCGAAGAGTAGGTTGGCGAACAAGAACAGCTCGAATCGAAACACTAGAGGTACGTACAATGGGACTCTGTAGGTAGCTCCACCATGTGATTCATCAAATCGGCAGATATATATATATATGTGTGTGTGTGTAGTGGAAACTAAAAGCCAATGGAAGCGCAGCACAATGGAGACGCAGATCCAGCAGGTGCCCACCACATCGTCGCGGGAGAGGAAGGCGGCGGGGGCAGCGGCGAACCACATGGCCGTGGAGTGCGTCATCGAGAGGCCAATGGATGACAATAGCTCGCCCATTTGTCTATCTATAAACAACAGCGCGGGCGAGCGTCAGCGAGTGCGGATTAAATACATTTCATGCGATGAGGACAACAATCCCATTGAGGAAGCATCCGAGAGCAGCAGCAACCACAGTCACGGTCACAGCCATAATCACAGTCGCAGTCACACTCACGCTCACAGATGCAGTCACAGACAAAAGATGACAGGAACTCAGGAGCTGTGATGGACAAGTTTCAAAGCGGTTTCATCTTCTCCATGAGAGCCACTCAAAAGAGAACAAGTCTCACTGTAAATACGAATATTAGCGAGATTATATGAGTTTTTAGAGTCTAATGAAATACGTTCTAGTGCAGTCCACTTTGTACTTACTTGAAGCGTCATCGAAGAGCTGTAAGTTTTAAAAATCTATAAGTATACATTTATTCTATAAATGTCACTGTAAAACTTTACTTAATACAACTCAAGTTAGACGAAAAACTTTTAAGTGTGTATTGAAAGTAGTTAATTGTTAGTTTTGATTATCTTTAAAATTTAAAATTTAGTTTTGTTATTAACAGACAAGTTTGAGCGTCCTACATTGATGTTCGATATATGTAATTGTGTATATAGATAAAAATATATATATGTATTTGTGTAAATTGTAAATAAATCGTAAAATTTGGTGAAATTTTAAAAGGTTGTCAAGTAAAAGTGTTGTATTGTACCCAAATTGAGGCCACGGGAATAATACTGGAATATTATGGTTGCGTATGAGCTATCGTGGGTTATGGTTTATTTTTATAATAATTAAAATTGGGTAAGTATGACCCCTACACTTAAATACATTTTAATAGGTCAACCATGCTTTCGTTAGCATGGCTGCAAATTCAAAGGAAAATTGTTGTTGAGCTTTAGCATTTCATACTGTGAGCCCATTAAAATACCGAATCGGAGTCAGCATAATGGTTCTCCTGTGCTAAGGTTACAAAATGTTTAATTTTCAATTTGCTGCTTCGTGGGTCGCGGAACAACCAACAAAAGAACAAGAGCTCTCTTTATTGATGCCTTTATGCAGGGCCGGATTGACCCTCAGCGGGGCAGTCAACAATTTGGGCGCCCTTTTTCACATCAGTTCCTTTTCTTTTTATTAATATATAAACTTATATATTTTATACAAATTTTATTGGCATACGGTAATAATATCAATAAAATGACTGTCTACACTTTAAAGACGTCGTTTTCTCAGTTGTGATTATATTTTTCTGTCACTGCCTACTTGTTAATCCGGCCCTGCCTTTATTCATCGTTTCCTCAGTTGCATAGCGATGAGCGGGAGAGCAAGCGGAGGGAGAGCGAGCAGAGAGAAAGTTACGTTCTTCTTCATATAAATCCAATATGCAATGTGCAATAAATAATTTAAATAATATTTAAACTAATCATCAAATTATTAAGAAAATTAATAAAAAGGCATAGCAAATCAAAACATTATTTTTAAACAAAGTTCTTAATTTTGAGTTCATCAAAATATATAATTGAATAATTCATTCTTATTTATGGGTGTATAGAATTGCTATCCTAATCAGCGCACGGAGCAGTGAATAATTTGTAAAGGTCGCAAATACATAATGTATTAGTATTTTAGTAAACCAAACGAACGGTATAATCTGTATATGTATATTTTCGTTAGAATTTGAATGTCTTACAATATTTTTGTGAAAGTTTTCCACCGCTTTGGGTATTGATTCGATTTAGTACGCTTGCTGGCTTTTAATGCTTGATTGAATCGTAATTCAATCACCTAATTGGAGAGTGCACTCAACAACTATTAGATAATTTATGCAAAGCTTTTAAGTTAGTATTTATTAGCTTGTCGTTTTGGGAAATTCGCAGCCTGGGGCTTTTTCGAGTCACTTCAGCCTTTCACTGAACTCTGCTTATCTCTGTTCAATGGAAAACTTAGCCTGACCAAAGGTTGCTTTGCACTTAATGAATGCAAATGCAAAACTGTCATTATTCAGCTATTCAAAGCGGATACGGATATCCAAAGCACGGCAAATGGATATCGGTAGCTCGAGAGGACATTCACGAAAGGTGCTCGCAACTTGCATATTTAAAAGTTGAATGGAAAAGGTCATAGGAATCATAATGGGTATGGAAATAAACCTGAAAACATCTATATGAAAGAGATACAAAAGGAAATCAAGCAAATTTCAATAGGTATCAGCATATCAAAGGAAATCTTGTACAAATGGAACTTTCTTTTGTATTAATACTGTCATTTTAATACATTCAAGTCTGTTTAAAGTTGTTTTTTTTTTTTTTTCAGTAGAAATGTAATATTCGTGGAACGTAATGAAACCCTACTCTTTTTTAAGAAAGATTGCTTTGGCTTAAATTTAATAGTATAGAGACAGAAATTATATGGACAGCTTTGTTAGTTTATTTAACAAATTCCGTGCATATGTGGGCATGCTCAATGGCTTAGCAGCTGCAGGGAAGCTCGATTTTCCATGGAAACTCTTTGAGATGTGCGCGCACAGCTGTCACAGGGAACGTGAGTCCGCTGAGCCATGTTAAACATCAAGAATTAAACACAGCATATTACAAAGGCTGTTAGCAATTTGTAAACTGCGAAAAGCAATCAACAACACTCTCAGTTTTTCTCTACTGCGCGACGTTAATGCTCACAAATTGCTTGTTCTGATAACTTGGACGATAAACCCTATTTACAGCTAGCTATGCACGGATTGTTATTTTGTTTGCTGCCGAGAACACATTAAGCGTAATAGGATTTTATGGGATGCTCTGAAAGGGCGAGAAGGAAAGAGCGAGCCAGAGAGGAAGAGGCACATACAGCCAAGACATGGAAAATATTCCATTGAAATGCCGTTTAATGGTGGGAAAGCATAAAATAACAATTTGCATAATATTATGATTTTCGACGGGCGGTTTCTTTTGTGCCGACGTATTGAGCTTTTTAAGTTATTGCTCGCCCAGTCAAATGAGTATATTAGTTTTGCGCATCTGTACATATAAGCTTATTAGGACAGATTAAATGGAAATTATTAAAGTTATAATTAAGTTAATGTACGGGGCGTCAATTTCAGAGGCGGCGTGGAAACTGGATAGCAAGGAAAAGGAAAAGCTTTGAAGCAACTATCGCCGAGCTATGTAAGTAAATCTCTGTTGATCTTACCAGCAAGCAGACTTAAAATATATATAATTAACGAATATGGATATTTTTTGATAATGATTAAGCATTAGGCAGTCTGTTACGCCCGACCTCTTATTATTTCATTTTCTCACTCTTTCACTTGTCTACTTCATTGCCATGCCAGCAAAAGATTCAAATTCAAATTCAGTTGAAAGCAATGCCTTTGCCGCACCGATATCACATGCCGTTGCCTCCAGCAACCGGCATCGGCATTCAACACTCGACGTTTGTGGGCGGCCAGAAGGAGGAGGCAGAGCGGCCCACCCAGCTCAGGCCAGCTGTACGGGCTTGTAGTCACATTAAATGGCAATCAAATCCCCACGATATGCACAACATATGACAATGAGCAGTTGATAAGAAGATGCGGCGGCAATTTCAATAGGCGCGCAACAAGTTGCCTATCTAATTGGCAAGAGCGCTGTGTGGATATGTTATTAAAGAACTTAGACGAATTTAATTGGCATTGAATTAGTTTACCTAAAATTTGGATTATAAACTGTTTTTTTTTTTTCTTTATTTTCATTATATCTCCATTATCTACGAAAGCTTGTGAAAAGAGAAACTAAAGTTGACAATAGACTGAAAAATAATCATCTTTCGTATGCCTTCAATATAAACAAGACGCTAATTTGACATCGAAGTTTGACAAAGGTTGAGCACGTACTAAAATACGTATACATGTATGTTCGACAGGCACATGTGAAATTCGATACATGTTCGATTGAAATTATATTTTCGTTTCTCTTCGGTACAAATGTCATGTGACTGTCAAATGCAAAACTCATCCCAATCAGTTTGTTGACTTTCGTATGAAATTCTTTTATCAAATCACATTCACAGTGCAGATATTTAAAAATCCATTCATACCCTCTGCTCTTTTAGTGTGGACAAAGAGGGTATGCTGTGACTACGCAGAGCTCACTGGTTATATGACATATATATAT